TAAATTAAATAACTTTTTGCCGCACTTTGGCTTTTTGTTATTTTTAACTGGATGTTTATTGTCGTGACTCTCTTTTTAAACAATAATGACTCTCTTTTTAAACAATAATAATTCTGGGCTACGCAAAACTATGTCGTCGATTTGGTTCCATTACTGCGGTGAAATTTTAAATGACCTATTAATCTGTTAGATTTTAATTTAAACTTATACCCAAGTGCTTTATTACGTACCAGAGGTATTATTATTTTTAATGTATCTTCTAGTTTTATTTAATTTACACCACAGTAATTCCGACGGTTATTAATCTATGATTCCGACATGCAATTACAGACAGGCTGCGTTGCCAAGTTAAATAAAGCAGCCAGCGCCTCCTGGCTTTACGTCTTGTAAGCTGATTTTATATTATTAGTATTAAAATTATATTATTAGTTTAACTGTCCAAATATATAAATATTTTAAATATATATTATTTTGTAAAAATATTATTATATTTTAGTAAAACTAATATATATGTTATAAAATAAGCTAAAATATATATATTTTAGATAAAATATTTATATTTTAAACAAAATATATATTTATTTTAGAAATTATTGTATATTTTACAAATCATAATTATGGCACAAACGGCGCCTCATAAAGATCCCTCCTAAGTGGCGTATACGATACAAACGTAAAGTACCAAAAACGAAACAAAATATCCGGAATATCGGTAATCGTTAATAAATAATAAATAAATACATAAATAAACAAACAAGTGCAAGAAGTGCGAAAATTGTGAGATAACGCCGTAAAAGTGTGCAAGTGAATAAGTACCTAATTGAGGCTAGGCAGCAACGATAAGTCAACCGGCGCACCTGGATCGGAGCGTTCCAAAAATATCCTTTTTCTATGCAAAAACCTACAGGAGAAGGCCACCTCGCGAAAGACAAAGCATCAGGTTTATAGCCTAATAATCAAGCTAAGTAATTCTTCTAATTGCATGTCTTACCTTACCGTATAATCGTTAAATGTTTATATAAGCATTTCACAATGTTGCAAAAAAATCTAAGAAATCTATTCGTCTTAAAAATTAAATTTAAAAAATAATAAGAACATTTCCGTAACTGTTAAATAAACAACCTAATTTTCTCATAGTAGACAAACGTAAACAACCAGCGTAAAAGGCGTAAGCAAATAAACCAATTCAAGCAAGAAGACAAAAATTTATCATAAATAAATTTAGGGTCACACTCATAAATCAAGCCAAACTAATACACAGAACTCAAGAGCCAAGCAGGCCATAAGGCCGCATTCCACTATATGCACTACAGGGCCGGCTCTATTTTGAAGATCGATATTTACATAAAGTGATTAATTAATTAATTAATAAATTAATTGATTGATTGATATGGATATAATCGTATTGGTATTGGTATTGATGGTGTATTGTTGGTATTGGTGTTGATGTTGATATTGGCATTATAGATATTGATATTAGTATTAATATTGATTGATTAGTTGGTTGATACTGATATTAACGTTAATATTGATTAATTGATTGATTGATATTGGTATTGATTATTTGTATTATTTGGTATTAGTATTGGTATTGACTAATTGATATTTATATTGAATTTATATAGATACTAATTTAACAGGAAACCAGGCAACAATTGACCATTGCAGAGGGCAGCGTGCGTGTGAGAAGGGAAATCAAGTGGGTGCGTCGCAATATTATATTATTGTATTATATATATTATATAATATACACATAAGCTCACGCAAGCAAAGCTTGGAGGATGGAGAAAGTAAATGGGCAAAGCCCCCACGGAAAATGAAGTGGTAGGCCATCTATTGAGGCATGCGTTGCACGCCTGACATAGGGGCCGGGTTTCAAATACTGATGCGTTACACCACAGGGCCGGCTTTATCTATTTTGTATATTAATATTTTTATTTTTAAATTAATTTGAAAAAAAAATAAGTAAGAAGGCAAAGATATAAATAAATGAAAACGGTATGAACACTAATATAGCAATAAAATAAATAAAGAATATACAAGGTTGGTAGCCGGAGTAAGCAAAAAACTAACATACCCACCCCCATTCACGAATACCAATTGAATGGGGATACTACTAAGGCCTAGGTTGAGGAGGATTCCGGATTGTACTTAGTTTTGGGTCAGTTCAATGTCCTCCAAAAACCCTTCCTAAACTGGACGTATGGCCCGACCCGGCTGACAAAAATCCCGGGAGCTGCCTTAACCTTTGACACTGTCATCCACGAACTCCTAGGGTGGATCTACCAGCCGGCGTAAAAACTTCGGATCCAACAAACACAGGTAATGCTGTGATTTGGCGGGATACGCAGGAGAACGGAAAGGGGGTAATATAACCCCGGGAGATCAGTGGATGATAATATATCTGGGGCTTGCCATACGTTCCCATACTCAAACTCATAAATATTTCTTTAAAATTAAGTGTAATACGAAAGTATTTAACAAAACATTGCCTTTTAATCCTCGCCATGTAGTGAACAAAACATAATTTTGGGAATATAACATTTATTTTGAAAATCAGTAGATACAAATTTAAGAATCCCGCATTATTTTCCCCGCCTTCCTATCAAAAAGTCATCGAGCGTATAGTCCCCATTGTTGCCAGATGTACGGGCTTCGTATACTGCGTAATACTTATACAAAGCTGTATATAATCTCGTTTGACTCGTGTGCCCCCTACCGCCAAAGCATTGGAACTAAGGGTGTATATTTTGATAGGTTTGAATGGCATTAGGAAGCCCACCACTTTTTCGCCATTGAAACAAGGGGGCATCACTTAACTCTAAAACAAATTTATACACGCTAATTTTAGGAAGCCCGATTTCGGGCTTCGTAAAAACCGAGTGGGCTTCGTTTATACTGTAGAATGTAACGTTTCGGGCTTGGTAATGTAGGATTGCATATATATATATATATATATATATATATATATATATATATATATATCCTTTTAAAGACTTTTATATATACTTTAAACAATCACAACACTGGCCGATTTTTAAATCGTTTTTTTTAACAAAAAAAAAGCACCAAACGTTCCGTTGCAAACAGCGACATTTCTCATTAATTTATGAAAAAATCAAGTTTCGATAAGTATTACGTTTAACCAATTTTATTTTAAATTAAAAGTGTATGTATAGATATTTAGGAATGTAAAATAACCCATTTTGAATCATTTGGATAAAATAAATTTAGGGGGAAATTTCTGGGTAATATTTAATATTTATGTAATTCACAAATGTATTTTGTATTTTTTCGATTTTATCGATGTAGACATTATACATAGGATATCAAATAATAGAGCCATAATTTAAGACGCTATTAACATAGGACATATATAATGTTCTACAGGCAGAACTGCTATTGAGCTCATAACATGAACAAAAAATAAAGCCTAACATTTTACTTGCTTTTTTTGATATGTTCGATACATGCTGGTCAAACAACAGCCTCGAGTCAAATGTTATTCCCAAGTCCTTGATTAGGGAAACGGTAGTTAAACTAATATTTGACAGCATATATACAGATAAAATCAAGCTTTTATTACGAGTAAATGTTATGTCATACCATTTTTAAAAATTTAAATAGAGACTATTATTTTTACAATAGTAATATAAATTGTTTAAATCATTTTGAATGTTGCGCACATCTTTGGCACAACTGAGTGAATGGAAATTTTTTAAATCATCATACATAAGAAATCTTGAAGTATTAAAGCAATTCTTAATATTATTAGTGTACATATTAAAAAACAAAGGGCCCAGATGTGAGAAGTGACAAATACATTATTAGATTTTTCACCATGAATAGACACGGTTTGCGTTCTATTAGAAATTTAAGATTTAAACCAATTTAACAGGCTTCCATGCACACCGACTTCAGCTCCTTAACAAGATTGAGTGATCAATTTTATCAAAAGCCTTACTGAAGTCGGTGTAAATGACATCCACTTGTACGTTATTATTCATTTTTTGAAGTAAATAGTTAATGTAAATAAACAAATAACCCTTTACAAACCCATGCTGTTCAACGTTTAGTACATTCTTTATGTCTGCATACAAATAATCAAAAATAATAATTTTAAATAATTTGGCTAAGATACATAACTTGGAAATTGGTCTGTAATTATTTAAGATGGTTTTGTCACCGGATTTAAAAACCGGAGTAATATATGCTGAGTTCCAAATTTTAGTAAAGCAACCCTCCTCTAATGACTTGTTGAAAATAATAGTTAGGGGTTCAGCTAATTGTAGAGAGCATTCATTTATAAAATAAGAGGGCAAATTTTCAGGACCACAACCCATAATTTTTAAGGAATTTATTTTTTTTAACACTCTAAAAGATGAAATTTTATAAAAACCAATATTACAGTTGTTTGTGGTTGTAACATTTGCATCTAAAGTATTGGATGCAATAAATACTGAGCCTAAATATTCTGAAAATTTCTCACAAATGGTTTTATTATCTGTTATTATATTATTATTTTCTTTTATACTATAAGGAACTGTTGAACTTGATTTTTTGCTGTTGATAAATTTCCAGAAGTATTAAGAGTCTTTTGTTATGTTATGCTGAACGCAGTGGCGGATCTTGATTTTGTGGGGCCACAGGCGGAAGCTGATCTGGGGGCCCCAATTTAAATGTAATGGTTTAGTAAAAGAAACATTGCAGAAAATCATACTGTTTTATTTATTTTTAAATGAACAAAAATACATGTATGTATACAAAAAAATATATAATCTATTAAAAATAAAAATAAATACTATTAAAAATAAAATTAAATACTATTAAAAATAAAATTAAATACTATTAAAAAGAAACATAAATACTATTAAAAATAAAAATATATTTTTTTAAAAATAAAAATATATACCATTAAAAATAAAAATATATTCTGATATTTAGAATAAAAACATTTCCATTTAAAAGAAAAAACAATAAAATTTTTCCCGTGTTTTTATTTAAACTTTTACTTTTCTTGCCTTCATTCTAGCAAATTTATCAATTAAAGATTCATAATCAACGTCATTTTCTATAAATATAAAAGATAAATTGCTCAAATGAGGTTGACTTAATGAATTACGTAAATAATTCTTAACCCGTTTAAGTACGGAAAATGAACGTTCACCGCTTGCATTGCAGATAGGCATTGTCAAAAAAATTCTCAAAATTGTTTCTACATTAGGAAATGTAGACTGCAGTACATCTTTTAACAATTTATACATATTGACAGGATCGGATACGTTTTCTTCCTTAGCATATTTTATAAAATGGATAACTTCATCTTTAAAATATTTACTATCAATATCATGGCTGTATTTTAATGATAATCCACCCACGCATCTCAATATTTTATCATTGCTTATTTTATCATTGAAAAAAACTTGGAAATATCTTAAAATATCATTGGAAACAGTGGATCTTCTTGATATTTCACATATCACATTATGTATGTTTACTATAAAAGATTGCCTTCCATCGAAACATGTGTCATTACTGGATCTTTCTCCAAACTGCAATTTTATTTTCCTTATTCTTTTATCATTAATTTTGTAGTCTCTATTATCTGTAAGTAAATTTGCTTCATCTTCAATATCTTCAAATTTGTCCCTTACATCCTTTATAAAATCAGAAAGGGATTTGTAAAGATTTTCTCGTTTAAGTAAGTTCGACTGCATTTCTTGTAGTGATTTACTTGTGGAATTTATCCGCTGCAACAGTTTGTCCCACAACACAATTTCATAATCATCAAATTTTTTTGCCAATTTTTTTTGCCTTCAATTTACTTGGGTTTTTCCGTTTCGCTCATACTAATTTCAATTAATGATTCCTTTATGTTCTTATAATTTAATCTCCTTGTGTCGCTTACTCTCTTTACGTTGCTCTTTTTAGAAGAATCCAGTAAATTATTCTTCAAAATATTTCATTTTCGTGTGGATGAAGAAAAATACACATATATATTTTGAATAAAGTTAAAGTAATGCAATGCCCCTGAACATGATTCGGCAGCCGAATTTTCAATTAAATTTAAAGTATGACTAGCACATGGTATATAGGTAGCTGTTTCAACATGTTCCTTCAATTTTGCTTGTAATCCGTTGTATTGACCAGACATGTTCGCGGCATTATCGTAAGTTTGGCCTCTGCAGTTTTTTATATCAAAACCCAGATTTTGCAATGATTCCAATACAACTTTCTCTAAATATGCTGCATCATGCCTCTCAATTGGAATGAATCCAAAAAACCTTTCTTTTATATCAAGTGTGTCTATACGTCCAGAAACTGATAACCCTTTTTTTTTAGTTATTATGGCTTGGAAATGTGTGTTTATCAAATAATATTCTACCATTTTATCTGTTAAATACTGTGGCCATAATGCTATATCATGTGAAAACTTACTTTGTTCTTTTGACCCCTTACTGAATTTAGTTTGTTTAACTGTTTCCTCGCATTCCTGGTTATTATGCTTTTCTTGAAATTCACAATTTTCGGTATTGGTAGTTCCCTTGTTAGTGTCTACACTATCAGTTGGTTTTCTAGAATAGATGCATCCCGTATTTTGTGTAACTGTTTCTTCGCATTCCTGATTATTAAGCTTTTCTTGAAGTGCACAATCTTCAGTATTGGTACTTCCCTTGTCACTGTCTACATAATCACTTGGTGTACTAGAAGAGCTGCATCCCATATTTTGATTTTCAGATCGAGTTGCTAGAAATTTAGCTAGATATTTTTTTTGATGTACTGCACATTTCTCTATTTCTCTAATCCGTTTTCGTTTTTCAGCACCGGACTGGTACGTTCTTTTCATCTTAACGTTCAATGGCTATAATAATTAAAAAAATATTAATAAAGTTAAATTATTATTATATTATTATTATTATTATTATATTAAATTAATTGTTATTGATATTATTTTTGCTTACCTGTTTTTTGTATTCGCAAATGATATAAACTTTATAAAAATTGTCCATAGATGCTGTACAATTTAGTCTAAATTAGGGCTGTAACACAAACATTGAATATGTATAAACACAATAACATTATCGCTATAAAGGGTCTAGAGGTCGACAAACATTCAAAATATCTCCATTTAAAAACAGAGCAAAACCTTGTTTTGTATTAGCTCGTATATTAATATTTTTGACATAAATAGTACATTTAACCTATTTTGTCATACACACTTGAACTACTAAACTAAATATTTATACATAATGTACATTTTTTAAATGTTCTAAATAAGGTTACAATACTTACTTAATACTTACAAAAATTAATATATTTACACTTTACATAGTAAAATTATTAACAAATAAACAAAAAAATCATAAAATTTCGAACTTTCTAACATATTAAATAGGCAACTAACGTTACGCACGTGCATGCAGACTTTATAACTGCAATTATATAAATGCGTTTTTTTAACCCTAATTCACGGTTTTGCGGCCACCAAAACTAGGGAAAAATAAACCAAATCACAATTCTGAGGCCCCCGTTTCGCGAGGCCCTAGGCTGCCGCCTCATCCGCCTGTGCGGTAATCCGCCGCTGGCTGAACGTTCTCTAAATATAGTCTTATAGTCTTGTGAGATTAAAAATTTTGAACTACCACGTAGTAAGATATGCAGTTATAGAACTGAATATTATTTTTAAATTACAAAATACTAACGTCAAATTCGAGAGTATTGAGAAACTTATCTTCGGGACCAAGGGGTGTTTGGGAAATTTTTATATTTTTAATATTATTAGAATTGCTTAGTATTAGATCTAAAGTATTAAGGGAAAAATTGGCGTGACAATTATATATACAAAATAAGGATACCTGAATTATTACAACAAAAAAAGTTTAAAGCAGTGGCATTACCGTAGGGCACGTTGTTAAGGTCACAATTTGGGATGGAATAAACTGTTTTTTATATTTAACTAATTTAGATTTATTTAACAAAATATATGCATTTTTATAAATCGACTTTACTCTCTTAATTCTTGACAAACTCTGTTTTAGATACGGCCGATTTTTAAAAAGGAAACCTCTCTTTCCACCACCATTTCTCTGCCTGCCCCTTTTGTCGGCTAAACGATTTTTATTTTATTAGGGTGGTTTATAAAGATTCCTTTTATAAAATTTGCCGAAAGCAGTTTCAATCTCAAAACAAGCTATAAAAAACCCATGGACCACACAATGTCTCAAAGGGTACATTCCTAGAATAGTTTTATTAGGGGTCTTAACACGCCTTCCCATCTTTAAATTTTAACAATATGAAAAATCAATTAACTAGCTTATATAATAAGAAACTATCTAGTACTAACTATATAACAAAAGAAGTTAAAATTAGACCTAAGAGTAAACTTAAAGTTAATTAATTATTAATAAAAAAAGGTTAGAATTAATATTAAAATTAGATTGAATAGGTACTTATAAATTAAAATTAAAATGTTTCTATTTAGATCACTAATTATAATTATTAACTAAATTGACTTTACTTAACTACACTCACTTATTTAATCGTCACTCAAAAGTTCGATTTTTTTTAACACTTAAACGGTCCTACGGTAAAGGAAGTCGCAGGAGCTGTTGGGGAAAGTGATCTTCGTGCTCTAGGGGTTAGTCTGTAAGATTTTTCTTCTTCTGGGTTTTGTTGGCTACTTCTTCCTGTGTGACAATTATCATCATCATAGTCGTCTTGGTATCTTAGTCTGCTCATTTGCATCGGTGGGTGTGCGGTACGAGTTTGTTGATGGATGTTCTTACTGTTTATACATATTCCCATGAAACTGCCACATCCCGATTTATTTGTAGGAAACCATCTAGTCATTCAAGTTTCTACAATTCCTGCAGCAGCAGCAGATAATTAATAAGGCTACTATACTAATTAGTAAAGCACCAAAGGTTAAGTTATACCAATGAAAATGATTGGTGATTGAATTCTTTTCGAGATTATCTTGTAGGATTCCGTCCATTTATTCTAATTGGTGAGACACGCGGTTCAATTCCTTCAAATCATGGTTTCTAAGTACAATCGGTTCCATTTCGATGTTCTTAAGGGTCTCTATCTTTTTGGAACAGCAGTCGTCAGTCGTAATGTCTATGGAAGGAACAAAATTGGAATAATTTCTTGTTATATTTGCAGTAGCGATCAACGTCATGGTTGGCGAATAACATCGGCATTTGGCCTGGAGTTCTTTACTTCTACCTCCGTGGGTAAGGAGTTCTTGGAGTCGCAACCAATTGACACCGAAACAGGAGAACTAAAGACAAACAACCACGAATTCTAAGTTCTAAGTGGGCTTTAACTGTTTTAGTGGAACAATCTTGAGGAATTTTATCCACAAAATGTGTCCGTAGTTTTACTTCACACATTGGTTTGTCGGATGTGTCTTGTATTGTCACACCATTGCATAAATAGTCCCTTGAGGATAATTTCGTACAATCATCCAGATTCCTCAAATAACTGTATTTCGAACGAATAGTGCTCATTATGAGGAAGGGTTGTGTTGGGCTTATGAAGGTAAAGGTATCATTATGGGAAACAGGTAGCGGTATGAGTTGGAATACTAAGGGTAGTTTGATAGCATAAATTAACAATTTGTCATTATATATTACGGATAATTCGCATAACGTAAAATATTTGTAGATGTTGTTATAATAATAATTATCAAGTGAAATAGGAAATTCAATATCAGCTTTTAGTTTAATTTTTTGTAATTCTGATCTTAAAGGGTGGATGGAGGATATTTTGCTTAGAGAATAGAACTCCCATTATAATTATATCAAATTCCTCATTTATTTCGCTAGTTAATTGGAGCAATAAGTTAACATGTTCGGTAATTGTTTCTATTATATAAATAAAATTTATTTGATTTTACTAAATGAGTTAAATTTATTAATGTTATCATTTAATCTTTCTTCGTTTGTGATGAATGATATAGCTGATTTGTTGTAACTGGAAATTGCGCTTGATAATATAGAAATTTGTTGTTTCATAAACATTTGCGTGTCTTGATGTTGCTCTGTTAATGTTTTAATGGAGTCTGAATAATACTCAGCGTCATCAGCATTCGGAATTCCGAACAACCATTTAAAAGCATACGAGGCGCCATCGAAAATACCTTGTTTGTTTCTTAAATGTTCGAAATTATGACCAGTTTCTCTTAATTTTCCGATTTGTAAGTGAAATAAATGAATTTTTTGTTCGACTATTTGTGAACAAATAGGGCCTGATTTAAGGTAAATTTCTTCAACGAAAAGCATTTTTTTTATGATAGAAACTTATATTGGTATAACTTAATAAGGTAAATTTGTCGATAATTAATTTAGCTAACCCGAAATTGTTAAAATATATTCCTGATTTAGCTTCTATAGGCTTAATTGAAAATATTTCTGTTTTGTATTTTCACCACTAAAGTTTTATTTTTATTGATTTTAATTATAGTGTAAGGTCCTTTATAGTTAATCGAAAGTTTAGTGCTGATTCCCTTTTGAATAGATTTATTAATAACATAAATTTTATCACCTACTTTTTATTCAATGTCGTTAATCCTTTTATCACAGTAAGCTTTACTCTTAATTTTTGATTTAATTAGGTTTTTTCGAGCGATCTCGAATGAATTATTTAAACGGAGTTTAAGTTGCGATACGTAGTCATCGTACGTATATTTAAACTCAGGTTTAGCGGTTAATGTAGACGGTATTGATGGTTTATTACCGTATAGAAGTTCAAAGGGACGATAGTTCGTAGAAGAGTGTATATTTGTGTTGTAGCTGAACATTGCAGAAGGGATATATTCGTCCCAGTCTGATTTTTATTAATATAATGTTTTAAGTAATCTTTTAAAACCGCTTGACTACGTTCTAAGGAACCATTGGTTTGCGGGTGATAAACAAATGCGCATATGTGTCTTATTTTAAATAATTTGTTCATTCTTTCATTAATTGAGAAACAAATTCGGAACCATCATCTGATAAGATGCTTTCTGGTAATCCATATTGCATGATAAATTTATATAATTCTTGAGCAAGTGTTTTAGCTTCGTGATTAGGTAATGGTATGGCATAACAAAATTTAGTTGAATCATCTTGCATCGTAAAAATATATTTATTGCCATTTTCAGTCATCGGTAACGGACCAACTATATCTATTGATAATCGTTGGAAGGGTTTAGATGTAGTTGTGATCTCTAAACTTGATTTTATTGGATTTCTATTAATTTTATTTTCTTGGTAGAGGTACAAGCACGAACTAATTGTTTAATCTCCTTTTTCATGTGTGTCCATTTATAATTCTCTTTAATACGATGATATGTTTTACGAAAACCACAATGACCCGATGTGCTAGAACAATGATTTTCTTTGAAAATTCCATTTACTTCTTCTGGTGAGATGGGTGAAATTTTCTTTTTATCGATTATAGTTATATCGATCCCGGTATCCAAAAATACAAAATAGATCATTTCATTAATCATTTCTTGTTTAAAATTTGGATTATACTCTACAGGATTTTTAATAAATAGTTCTTCTTCATTCTTAAGAACTGATTGTTTTAATTTTAGGAGTGAATAGAAGAGATCTTTATAATTCGGGTGATCGAAATAATTTAAATAAGTTAACATGAGATAAGTATTTTGGTTATTTTGATTATTGAGTGATATTAAGTCGTATAAGCATATAGAATTTTTAAATATTTGGTTTAAATCGTGATTTTCGGCGAGATTGTTATAATACGGGTTATTTTCGTGAAGTCTTTTGATTCTCATAATGAAATCGAATGAAATCGTCGTATGTAGAGTGATTTTTAGTAATCAACACTGTGTTTCGTGACAAGCCGTCCACGGTAGAATTGATTTTACCTGGTTTAAACTTTATTTCATAATTGAATTCCTCTAGTTTTAATCGCCACATGACAAGTTTAGAACTCGGGTCTTTGCAGTTAAATAGCCAAGTTAATGGA